AAAATATGTTTAATTCCTCACTGAAGAAAACTGACCAAGTGGCACAACAAAGTGGGTTAATAATCCTCCTGTGCTAACAGCTCTGGTCTCATGATTTGTTATTCGTCCTTGAATGATCTGTAGAGAAACCACACCTCAAACACACGGTGAGCCAAAGAAAACTATCTAGGGACAACCATTCCTAGGCCAGGCCTGAACTTATAGTGTATATTTTGAACCACATCCCAAACAAGGAATGTGGACTTGTGAGCATTTTAACTACTTTAGCTAAGCACCTCGTGAAATTCTCTCTCATATTAACCATTTGTAAGGAGCTAAATTTAGCTATTCATAAGCGGAGAAATATGTGTTGTATTTCTCTTGGAAAACAGAGAAAGGAGACTCCTTTTAAGATGGCAAAGCAGTGTGCTCCACTAGAAAATCGTCCCACTTTTAAATGTTTTCCATATAATGGGAAGATATTTGAGATGTTCCGTTGAGCATTATCTTTTGTAGGCTCAAAGAGGTTTTATTAGCATCACGGTGTTCTTTGAAATAAACTCTCAAATATCCCCTGAAGTTCAGATGAGCGAGGGTGGTCTATCTACTGTTCCTCTTTCCAGCTGAACAACCAGATGCCTCAGAGATTGTGGAAAACAGATGAAGGCTGCAGGTGTTCAAAATGTGTGTTTGCTACCAAACCTCGACAGCACTGGATCTGAGAAGCGCTCAGTCTTTCAAAATCAACCAGTAAGGAACATCATGCTTGTAACACTCAACAAGGTCCAAAAATGATGGACCTTGAGGCCAGAATTATATGAGTGATGGTAGGATGGTTGGCACAAGACATTCTCAGCATTTTAATGGTTTGGGTTCGAGACTTTCCCACACTTTGGAAAGCCAGTCAGTGTTCAGTGATAAATAGAAAAGAAAGTGTTCATGCTAAGAGCACAATATGTTCCCTGTTAAGCTCAGCTGGGCATTATTATCCATTTGCAGACATGAAATTGTATTTGGTATAATTGCATTAAAATATACATATATTAATCCTTTTGAAAATTAATTATTTGCTGTTTTTAGTTGTGACAGTATAATTGTGTATAAAAGCATGGCTGGCATACAATAAATGACCTGTCACAAAAGTGCGTTGTTATTTTATTCCTCATACTTTAATTACGTGAAATGTGTCTCCAGTATAAAATAAAATTTTGCTATAAACTTCTAATAGTACATTTTCCACTGAGGGAAGATTTACCAAGTGACGAGAAACCCTTTATCTTATTCTTTGATTTGATCGCTGAAGATTTGATTATCATTTTTACATTGCGATTCCTTCAAATTTAGGGTTAGTTACTGTTTGTGTACTATATACACACTGACCTTTATCTGTGACAAAATAGAGATAAAGAAAAAAAGTCCAATCAGTCAGAGTTTATGGATTCACCAAAGACAACAAAAGATACTTTACAATAAATGAGAATGATTATAGGCTCTGACTGAAGAATTTTACTGCTAAATTAATTGATTCTGAACTAAATATGCAGGATATTCATTTTTGATATGCTATTACCCTTAAGTGTTTAGAAAAGTCAACATGAAATCAAAACTGAGCTTATTTTCCTGGTTAAGCATTAATCACATTATTATAAAAAGCAAAATTAATAAATAATAAAAAAGATTTCATTCATGTTTATCTAAATCTTTGATCAAAATGCAATTGCTTGTACGCTTTAAAATTACTTTTCTATTCAAGTAACGTAACTTGTCGAAGGTTGTTTTAACATATATTGTCTAGCACTAACACCCATCTTTTTACAACCCAATCAAAGTTCCACCCTTTTTTTTTTATCTCCATGAATATTCTGTTTCACTTGTAAAAACTTCACATTATAAAAACTAAAATGGATTGCGAATGCCGTTTCATGTTGACTTTAAACAGCGGCTAGTCCCTTAGCAACTACCTTAGTTCCCTTTCTGGCTCCCTATCATTTATAAAGGCCAGTGCCGTGTGCTTAACATTTCAACTTTTTTTATGTGATCACATTATTTCTTTGTTAAGTTTAGGGGACAAGAGTTTCCAAGTTTTTCACACAGCTTAAACATCTAATCATAGCTCTTAATATTGGCATTAACCTCATTTTCATTTCCCTCATGTTTAAGCTACCCTCACTGAACCACATGAATTGGCAGCTTTACACGCACACTATGTCACCCTCATTAATGCCGGGCGTTGCTTAGTGAAATGTTTGTTGATATTCATTATTCCACCTGTCTGAGCCAAGAAACTATGAAATACTACGAGTACAACCATAATCACGGGTCACACTCTATTAGTGCCTGGCTCACTTTTTTTCACACACACCAGATGCCCCATTTGGGGACAATATGGAGTTGGACCCAACTTCCCTGGCATAAAGCCCGAGTAGGGTGGGTACAACAGCGAAACAAGAACAGTGCCAACCTGGAAAACAGCTTTCCAGGGAGCTGCTGTGCTGCCCAACCACATTCTGACTTTAAAACTAAATGTCAGATTTAAGCACGCATCTCAACGCAGTATGAAAATAAGAACAGATTCATGTAAATTAGTCCAAATGTCTAGATGATGTATTGCAAACACACACTCTATAAAAAACCTATAAGAAACCTCCTGTACTCAAGAGGGCGATAGAGTTACCTTCAAATGTGTGTGCTATTAAAACACAGTCCTACATGGTATTATTAAGGTAGCTATTTAAACTTTAGCTTATTGAACCTTGACTAGCTATTAACGTCAATAGTTTTATTAACTTTTACTAGTTATAAACATGTTGACAGTTTAACTAATGATAACTAGTTAAACATAGACCGTTTAACTAACTTTAACTAGCTACAAACATGAAGGCAGAATAACTAACTTTGTCATTTTGTTGACAGTTGAACTTTACTCTTAATAAATTGACATTTGCATTATTTTAACTAGCTTAACAACAGTTTAACTAATTTCACTAGCTATAAACATGTCGAAAGTTGAACTAATTTAATAGTTTAATTAACATATAAATATAAACTATAAGCAAGAAAACCGTTAAACTAGCTTTTACTTGCTTTATAGTCTTGTTGACAGTTTAATTGTACTAGCTATAAACATGTTGAAAGTTTAACTGACTTAACTAGTTATAAAAATGTAGACAGTTTGATTAACTTTAACTAGCTATAAACATGTAAACAGTTTAATTAACTTAAATAGCTATAAAAAACAGTTTATCTCATTTAACTAGCAACAAACATGTTGACAGTTTAACTACCTTAACTAGTAAAAATGTTAACAGTTTACTTAACTTTAGCTATTAACTTCTCTAGACCGTTGAACTAACTTTAACTAGCTATAAACATGTCAAAAGTTTAACTTAACTAGTTATAAAAATGTTGAGTTTATTTAACTTTAGCTATAAACAAGAAGACAGTTTAACTAGCTTTAAACAAAATGACAGCTGAACTAACTTTAGCTATAAACAGGTAAAAAGTTCAATTAATGTAATTAGCTAAAAAAAATTTAAACAGTTTAACTAATTTCATTAGCTATAAATATAGTGACAGTTTAACTACATTAACTAGTTACAAAACATTGACAGCTTAATTAACTTTAACTAGCTTTAAACAAAAGGGCAGTTAAACTAACTTTAACTAGCTATAAACGTTAAACTTAACTAGTTATGAAAATGTTGACAGTTTAACTTTAGCTAAACAAGAACACAGTTTAACTATCTTTAACAAGCTATAAACATGTAAACAGTTCAATTAACTTAATTAGCTATAAAAAAATCAACAGTTTAACTAATTTCACTAGCTATAAATGTGTTGACAGTTACCTTAACTAGTTAAAAAATGTCGACAGCTCAATTAACTTAAACTAGCTTTAAACAAAAAGACAGTTGGACTACTATAAACTTGTTGACAATTGAACTAACTTTAACTAGCTATAAACATGTTGAGAGTTTAACTAATTTCCCTAGCTATAAACATGTTGACAGTAACTTGCTCAGCAATTTTCTTTGTAGTTGATATGCAAATGCGAAAGAAGATGGTTTATGCACTACATTATCAGTCAGTCTCTGACACATTTTGTAATGCAACGACGTGTGAAATCAAGCTTGAGCAGTAAGAAGTGTCTGTGTTCACACACTTGTGTAGAGTGTGTTGTGGTGTAAAGCATTATATAGTCCAGAGACAAAAACAAACACGTTGCATAAACGTTTCGTCAACATGCGTATGCGGTTGGCGACGAGGTGATGGTTGAGCTCAGTTCTCAGCACCCAGCAGACGGAGATCCCACGCCAAATACACAGTAAAAATATTTACAAGCTTTTTGCAGACAAGATTTACGCTAATGAAACTAAAAAGGCTATGGAACCAATAAATGAACGAGTTTGTTTAAACATGCACTGATAAATATAACAACACGGGTCAAATAGTTAGCCGTAATGGAAAGGAACACAAAAGGAACGTCGTAATCGTTAGTCCTACCATGTTACAAAACAACAGTGAAGTAATCTGATATGTGGAATATATCTGCGGGGGAGGTCCTGTAGTACATGAGAATCTATGATGCATAAGCCAAGCGAAACTCACACATGGATTAACAGATTTACTGTCTTTTTATTAGCTGTTTTTACAGTACAGCACAGGGATGCAAAGGGTGCAATCCGCACCACTGTAATGTAAAAACATCTCGATGATGTTTTCCTAATTTCAAGAGAGCCTCTAAGAAAAACAGCCACACACGCTCTGTGGTCCTGCAGCTAATATCCAGATATTAACCTGCCCTGGGGATTTTTCCTCTCCGCTTGCTCACAAGACAAACGGCCCACAAGTTAGCTCTGATGAGAATGTCAAGTTTGTTTTCAATTTCCAGGTTATCCTACGAGCACATGAGTTTGCTCCAAAATGTTAAGCATTTCATAAAGAGAGAGAAAGGGCAGAAAGGAAGGGCGAATGGGAGTTAAGCAGGCATTTTGGCTCATAATGAAGACCAGATGGTTTACCTTCACTGGTAGCCACATTCTTGGGAGCTTTGGTGGGCGTATGATCAGTGCTGGAGCTCACATCGGAGGAGATACTGGAGCTACCCTTGCCTGGGACAGAAGGGAAGAAGGAAATAACATTTTGTGAAAACAGCTTGTTTTCGAGATCATACTTGACTGCATGCATTCGCGATCTGTACGGTCAGCTGGTGTGCAGTTTCACAGAAGGGTGGGGTGCAACGGTTCCCACTGTAAGTCAATATTATAACAGATGCAATAAAAGTACGATCGGACATTTTGGCCCCATCACTCATTCACTTGCTGAACCATTACCGAAAGCAAGGAACCTCCTCTTGTTCCTAATCCAAAGCGAGGTCTGAGGTTTTCATGATTAAAGATTTGGAGAGGAACTCATTACTCAGTGCTCATCAGGAACGCACTGAAGCTGAGCAAAACCCTTCGGTTTACGTCTTCCTGCCAAGACAATATCTGTGACTGGAACAATAGATGGAAGAAATTACTTTAGTATTTCCAACACTGACAGAGTCTGCAGTTTCGCAAGATCCTCCAAGACAAATTTATCTATCATACATTAGGACATATTTGGCCACTGCGCAAGAGAAAGAGCGGAGACCATTCATGACGGCTTGAGGTTTTTTAAGAGGGCGAATAAGTTCGATACTTGCACATTAGCTCACATTTGTGGATCTGAAGGTTGGATTGGTGTTGTAATAAAAGTGTGGTCATTCACAGCCTGGAACGGAGATCCAGACATAAATCAACAGCACTACCACCACCCTTAAGATTATGGTTCCCCAGGCATGTTAAGTGCCTGACTTACATGGATTTCCATGTTGGCTGGCACGAGTAAGTGCTTGTTTGGTGCCGGCCTAGCTGGTAGACAAATCTCAACCCCCTGTTGTGTTCAAACTGATCGAAATATTGATGCATGCAAAGTTTTGACACCTGGATGTTACAACTTTTGTGTTGGGGTCAAACCGACTGTCCCATAGGTTTACACCAATTTGCCACTTTGAAAAACTCCAAAGAGTCAGTTAAATAACACAAAACCTTGTCAAACACATGAGAACTTAGGACTCAAATTTTACTTGAAACTGAGACTTGTCTTCTGAATCAGCCAAGGTGTAAGTGTGTGCATGTTTGTTAATTTGGCAGGGTTGGTTTATGGCACGTCATCCTCTGTCAGGTCATAAACGTGAACCACAAGCAGCTCCATGTGAGCAGAGCACAGCCTTCATCCCACAAACACCGTTCCCTCTGTAAACAAGTTCCTCTTAACACACATCCATACTGGAATAAACACTCTGTAACGCTCTTTTCACATATATAAAGAGGTCACGGAGTTGCTGTATTGTTGGTCGTTGCAAATCGCTATATGTGTGAACGCCCCTTTACATGCTGCCAACATACGTCCACCCTGGAAAGCTGTTGTGTGAAGGTCTTTCAAACAAGCTGTCAGATTACCACTGATGCATTGAATGACTCAATGAACTCTTATCACCTCGGTCACGACGGAAAAACAGCAGAATAACGTGAGCCGCACTGAACGGAGCGTGACGACGTGTTGCAGTGACATCAGTGAGCCAGAACATCTGCTTCATGTGACTCATCCGTCAAGTGGACCCCATGTGCTTTGCACGCTTTGAATTACGACCAGATACGGACGCTGTTATTATGATGTTGCTAGGCAAAGCTTTCACAAAGCTTAAAGTCTTCAGTTTAATCAAAACGGATGATGAAACTATTACTTTGCTGCTAAAAGATACACCGCAGTGTTCTTACTCAGAATCAAGAGCTAAAACCACAGATATTTGCTGAAAGATCTGCTTTTGTACTGTTTTACAGGCGATTTTCTCAACTCAGTACCGAAAAATGATGTATGGCATACAAATGTGGCCTAAAATGTATAAAGTATGATATGATATGATATGATATGATATGATATGATATATGATATGATATATGATATGATACACTGACAGATTTGCATTTTCAGCACTAAGATAAACATAGAGATTGGTCATTCTCAAAATGTTGATTTTAAGACTTAAGTTGAATTAAGCTGTTTTTTGTCCTGTAAAAGCTGTATATATATTTTTTTATTTGATTAAAAAAAAAACTTTGCCTCCTCATTTCAGAACACCACCACACACCACTTACATATATCTATCTATCTATCTATCTATCTATATAAATCCTGTACACTATCTCAGCTTGCAAACAGTATTAAAAGTTTTGGTTCCATTGCCTTTATCAGGCATTTACAATTATTTTATAACTATTTTATTTTATACATTAAAGATGTAAAGGTAGTGACAGTAACACTAGTTCTCATATAAAATTTTCAGTATCATCTCAAAACACACAGAGCAAATTAAAATCAGTACATTATAAAAAATCTTTCATTTAAACATTAAACAGTGTAACACTGATTTAAATTAACCTTTATCATTTAAAAAACGTACACTTATTAGACCTTGCACTAATGCACAATCCTGTAGAACAAACAAACAATAAATAAATAAATGCAAAACAATGTAGGGCCAAACCATTTCATACTTTTTATTAAAATATTTAATATATTGTTGATTAAGTTATGACGAGATATTTTTCATAACTAATATAATCACCATATTTTGAGAATGACCCACCTAATCTGTGTGAACAAGTTGTGAACATTCATCATTTACCAAAATTGTATCTGTAGTCTTTAATGCGCAGATGAGAATGCTACACGACAACTACCAATAGGCAAGAGAGAAGACATTAAAGTTTACAAGATCCGTCACCTGATAGATACAGTGGGATTCAGCTGAAACAGCAACTAGCAACCAACAGTACAGCAGTTTAATTATTCTCAGTGTAAACGTCCTTTCATTGATTTGAGATCCTTCTTTGCTTTTGGACGGGTGCTGAACTTTAACTGAAATCTGACCTGTAAAAATGACGGCTGGAAAATCCAAAAGTCTCCACTTTCTCCTACCAAACCAGGAAGAAGAGCTCTGCTTCACTCTGAAAATAAATCTGAATCATTAAGCTGTCAGTCACTAGCCATACCAAGCACAGCCATCACGTAAAGGGAGAAAAAGGAGATTTCCTTCGAATTTTCACAAACGGTCCATCACTCATGGCCTGAGTGGCCAGTCCTGCTTTTGATCCAATGACCCTAATCCATAAGTCATATTAGAGCTCTTTTCCTCCATGATGGAAATTTCAAATACTCCTAAGTATTCCAGATGGAGACTAAATGAGAAGGACTGTCCTAAGCACACATTCCCACATCTGCCTTGATTTATACCCATTCACAGACAATACAGGCTTTGCATTTATAAAAGACAATCTACCCAGCGGCCATATTTGGACACTTAAGTTCTGAAGTTTAAGAATCTTAAAATTGCATGAACGCAAAGCAAAATATCAAACCAAGTAGCATCTGCAAACAAACGATGGTAATAGTACAGGTGATTTTATCCAAATCATTTTTGGGTGCCACATAGTTCAGGGCCTTTAAAAGAATAATTCACCCGAAAATGCAGCTAACACACAGCTTTTGTCTTCTCCAGATGTGAACTGATGGACTGGAGTGCTGTGGATTACTTGTGGATTATTGTGATGTTTTTATCAGCTGTTTGGACTCTCATTCTGACGGCACCCATTCACTGCAGAGCATGCATTGCTGAGCAAGTGATGGAATTATATATTTCTCCAAATCTGATGAAGAAACAAACTCAGCTACACCTCTGATCATCTGAGGATGAGTACATTTTCAGCTAATTTTCATTTTTGGGTAACTGGGGGAAGCAAATAACAGTTTGATGGTTGTTTTTATTGTTTTACATTGCAAAATTTAGTTTGGAATGGCTATATTTGGGTTATTATAGTATATTATCAAATCAAATCAACATTTATTTATAAAGCCCTTTACAACACTCGAGGTGACTAAAGTGCTTTCCAATAAGAGCAAAATAAAACAGTAAAAACAAAAGCATAAAACTACAACAAAATAAGTAAAATAGAAAACAATAAAATACATAAAATGCACAAAAATGTCACAACATCACTAGGTATTAAAAGCCAGTCTGAATAAATAAGTTTTAAGCCTAGTTTTAAAAAGGCCCAGGTCAGTAATGGTGCGCATATCGGGGGAAGCTTGTTCCAGAGTCTGGGCCTGGCCACGGAAAAGGCCAGATCACCCCAATGTTTGTACTTTGACCTCGGGACTTCTAGCAAAAGTTGATTTGTTGACCTCAGAGCCCTATTTGGCTGACGAAGAGCCAGCATCTCAGTTAAATAAGATGGGGCGAGGCCATTAAGAGTATTAAAAACAAATAATACAATTTTAAAATCAACTCTGGCCGAAACTGGAAGCCAGTGGAGCGAATAGAGAACTGGGGTGATGTGCTCACGTCTGCGTGTATTGGTTAAAAGAAGGGCCGCAGCGTTCTGCAACAACTGGAGATGACTGAGGGACGACTGTGAGACACCAACATAAAGTGCATTACAACAATCTATTCTTGAACTGATAAAAGCATTAATAGCTTTCTAAAGGTCAGGGTGATTCAAAAATAGTTCGACCTTGGCCAAAAGGCGTAACTGAAAAAACTTGCTTTAACCACGCTGTCAATTTGTTTATCAAATTTCAGACTACTATCTTTTTGACAGCTGGTCCAAGCTTTGAAGGCAGCACACCAAAATCAGAAGTCACAGACTCTCCAAATAAAATGTATTCAGTATTTTCTTAATTTAAGTGAAGGAAGTTAAAGCATTTTTTGGCCTCATAGGCCTAGCAGTGAAAAGTTATATTGTGCCTGGCCATAATTGATCCGAGAGGCAGCATATAAAGTGAAAATAAAACGGGCCCGAGAATAGAGCCTTGTGGCACCCCGCAAGCAGAGAGAGGAGCAGTAGAGGAGGATGAGTCCCCGATCACTACAGGAAAACTTATGTCGGTCAAATATGACGAGAACTACTGAAGTGCGGTGCCCCGGATGCCAACAAAATGATTAAGGCGGGACAGCAGGACTTCATGGTCCACTGTATCAATTAAGGCCTCCGTGAGATCAAGTAGTACTAACATAACAGGGCACTTAGCATCAACGGACCGAGCAATATCGTTGTGCACCTTTAAAAGTGCAGACTCAGTGCTATGTCGCAATCTAAATCCAGACTGGAATTTCTCAAAGATAGAGTTATTTTCTAAAAAGGACTGTAATTGTATAAAAAGCTACTTTTTCTAAAACTTTTGAAAGAAAGGGCAGGTGGGAAACTGGTCTAAAACTAAACTTCTCCAGGTGTGTTTCAGTGGTCAAAGATCAGTGGAGCCTCACTACTTCAGGCCTTTCTTAAGGATCTATGTCCTTATCCTAAATGACAGGGATACATATTCAGCTGTTGATTCTAGAGGGTGATGGCGAGGGAGTTTAATGAACATGTCGCCTGACTCTCCCACTGAGCTGAAATCAGCATGAGCTGCAGTAGAAACAGAGTTATCAAAAGAGCCAAGGTTGAGCGGAGACATAATTGTTTTCTGGTCTGGAAAACAACTTCTCAAAAGCTTTCATATGTTTCCTGTCCTGTGCTTATGCAAAACACAAGGAGAATTTTGCCTGGCCTGAAGATAAATTCAAAATCGGGATCAAACTTAAGAACAGATTGCAGAGTCCCAGATGCATAATGTATATCTGTGCATTTCATATGCAGTGAGAAGTGTTACAGAGCCAAAATGATTAATTTGGCATTGTTTAGATGATTAAGCAATATCATCTTCACATTTGTGCTGTTGCACTAAATACCTTATGATATTCTGTACAGTTGCAGGAAACAGAGTGTGATATTGTGTTTAAACAGTTCAGTGAGCAAGAAGTTAATTTTGAGTAAAAATTTAGCCAGTTGTACTTACGTACATAAATATTATCTGTTTTCCAAAAATACTTTGCACCTGCTTAGATCACGGTGGTCCGAAAGAAAAAAAAACACTATGTATTTGAACTCATATTTCTGTAATTTATGGAAGCCTGTTTCTGGCACTGGTGGAAACTGGTGGAAATTTTTTTTTCACAATTATAACTTTTTTTCTCACAATTCAGACTTTTTTCACAGAATTGTCAGTTTATATCTTGCAAATTGCGAGTTTATATCTTGCAAGTATGAGAAAAATTCTGAATCGCGAGATATAAACTCGCAATTCTGACTTTTTATCCCGAATTGTTTGTCTTTATGTCTCACAATTTTGAGTTTACATTTTACAATTCTAACTTTTTTCTCAGAATTGCAAGAAATAAATGCACAATTGCAAGTTTATAAATCAAAATTGTGAGATAAAAACTCACAATTCAGAGGAAAAAGAGTCAGAATTGCAGGTATACAGTGTTCGCCTGACCACTTATGATCAAATCACACAAGACAAATATTAATGGCAGATGTAAACAAAGCCAGAGAGAGCTGACTTTGAGCAGTTTCACACACCCACAAGTGTTGAGTTTTACTCAAAACTTCATAAAGTACACACATCTGCACGACACCATTACACAGGGGTGGAGGAGCTTGAGACTGTTTGTAAATATCAGCTGTTACTTCTGGGATCAGAACTGCACCAAAACGTCTATTCTGTGCTGCTAGTGGTACCTTATGAAGTTACACAAATGATTACTGTTACCAAACAAGTTTCTCAATTATTCCCTTTATTTCCCATGGTTAGGAAGTGTACAATAGCCTACCTGGAAAAAGCTATCTGTTTGCATTTCCATTCATCCCAGTAGCAGTTGCTTATTTGAAACAAACCCCCTGGATGCCATCTTTGCTTCATGGGGACTCATGCTGCGTTCAAGTCCTCCTGGGACGTTCGTACTTACGAGTTGACAAGTTGTAATTACGACGTCAGGTGCGTTCAAGTCAGTTTAGTCGGCACAAGATGGCGGTGTACCTTCTTTTAATAAATTACAAGAAAATACAACAGGGTCTGCATTTTTTTTACTTGGATTTCATTAACTAGCTGTGTAACAAGAACATGACCAATTTAAGTTTATAGGACAACTAAACTATCAATTTAAACAAAAATTTACCGTCAACTACATCGATTCCGCAATTTCTCATTGAAAACTCTGAAAACTTGGGGCTTAAAGAAAATTTCGAGTTTCCCACTCGTAATAACGACTTTGTGGTGGCGTTCATGTGCGTTCAACTAGTAAATACAATCTATCCGACATGACTCGTAAATACGATCTATCCGACATGACTTGAACGCACCATCAGAATATGTATCATGTCACCGATCACTTGTCAAAAGCAGCAGATAGGGGGAAAAGTGCAAATCCAATGCTAACCCAGGGTTATTATAGTTAACTAAACCATAAAAAAGTTATTTCAAATAACGTAAACATTAACCGAAATCAAATATATATTAAAAAACAAACTTATTTTTATTTCAGCTAGTTGCCAAGGAAACATTTCTCATTTTCATTTAGCTTAACTTTATGTACTAAAATCTAAAAACTTAAGTAAAAAAATACATATAGAAACTACATAGACATTAAAAAACTAATACAAAAGGCAAAAACAGCAAAATTACTAAAGCTTTATATAAAATGCAAGATGAAAGATCTAAGATGGAAACAGAATACATTAAATAAAAAAGGGTTTAAAATATTCAATAAAACGATCAGTGCTACTAATCATTAGCAGAAAGATGTTAGCAATTTAAAATAAGAGGCTTGTTGGAAGAACGAAGTTTTGGCTTCAAAAACCGTAAAAGTACTAAAAAGTTGCATTATTACATTGACTTAAATCCAAGACAATTGGCCAAGGAGGGAATGCCTTGTTAAAAGCCGTGTCGTGTTGTATCTGTCGCGGTGGCGTTGCACGTATTAAGTAGTGGGTGTGGTCTGTATCTTTCTAGTTGTGGTAGGCGTGGTCGATAGTAGATATATCTTCTCGTGGGCGTGGTTTACTATTGATGGACGCAGATACATTTTCCAGGTAACCCCGCCCCCAAAAACACTCAACTGCAAGAAAGCAGTATCTCTAGGCTATTTTTGCTGTTTTACAGCGCCTTACAGAGACAATTGCTCTCGGGATGACTTCGACAGGTAGTTTTTTTTTTTTTTTAAATACCACGTTTTATGGGTGTTACTAACATCACTTATATGGCACCTTGTACCATTTATTCGTGAACACTTTTGACCATTACATTACAGATATTTAAAATCAACAAAGCTGCACAAAACAAACATTTCGACATCATCAGAATGTGCTTCATTTATTACAACTCATCCAGGGCAGCTCTGTATCATTATTTCAACAGCTAAAAATCCATGCCAGTTACTAAAAACCACCATTTGCAATGCTTAATGTATTGAAAGTGAAGTGTTGTAGTTCTTGGAGATCACGTACCTTCACTTCCACACTGTTTGCCATTGTTCGCACCCATCCTGAAGAACACATAGTCTCTCCTCACAGTAACACATCTAAAGCAGTGAGATTACACGGAGAAGTCCTCATGCACACCAAATACAGCTCCATTACGGGAACAGACAGAGTCTTCTTTATAACGCAGCATTCAGAAAGCAGAACGAGCAGAATCCTGGCAAAAGCTGACAACGATCTTCTCGCTGAGAAAAAGGACCATTGGAGAGAAGTTGCGACTCCTCCGACAGATGTGTGAAGAGAAACTGACCATGAACTCACTTCCACTGCGAGAGAGTGATGGAGGGGCTGGACCAGCTTTAAAGTGACCACCCAGAGCATCCAGCAACGACAAACTGTCTCAACTAACGTTTATAGTGTTTCGGGAATAAGAAAAATAATACAAAGAATATATGATATGATATAATTATAGCCCATTGGATACTTAAGTAGCACTTTAAAGTTCAATTTAAGACTTTTTAAGAACCTTTTTAAGACCAAGTAAAGAAAATTGAAGTAATACATATAATCGAACACAATATGTCAGTGTGATCTCTAGGCATACATGTTTTAGCAATGTTTTAAAGTTTAAGAATGCAACTTCCATTAAATCTCCCTTAGGTTTTCATTCATTTATAGGCTATCTTCTTATGACACTGCAAAAAAAAACATGTTCTTCATCAGGATTTCTGTCTTGTTTTCAATGCAGTGCAAATATCTAAAGATTCTTCAATCAAGATACATTTTCTTGAGAAGCAAAATGACAAAGTTTTTAAGAGTTCTATCACACTCCATTGAAAGGTATTTGTTCTTGTTTTAAGCATGAACTCACTTCTGTTCACTTTTTCAGGAAACAAGACTTTGTATGTTCAAGTTTTGTGTTTGTATTGGTAAACTAAAAAATACAAAGGACGATTCTTTATTTTTTTTGCAATGTATGCAACATTTAAAGCCATGACTTTATGAATTTAAGACTCTTTGCACAAATGTAAGACCTTTTTAGGCCTTAAATTGCGGAAGGGCAAATTTAGACTTTAGACAGAAAACCTGACGAATGCCATTGCATTATTATATGTGCTTTGCGGTCATCGAGGTTTAGTGCACTATGTTCATAGTTCCTAGTATAGTGCCATGTGAGAACTTGTGGGAAACCGACTTCATGTTCACTCAAATCTGATGAAAATACATTGCCAAAATGATTTAAAAGTGGAAAATGAGGTCTGTGACAATGTAGTCTAAGTTGAAAGAAAGGAATCCAATAGACAAAGACATGCAAATAAAATATTTTGATTAACAAACTGAATTGAGTAATTGCTGCATTTCAGAATTGTGTTATACTCGAGGGGCCATTAATAAAATAATATATTAATATCAGTGGCACAACATGTTTCCTTTTGAGCCAAACTAGCCTGCATCCTGACCGTGTGTTCTATTGTTAGTTAGGCTTCCTGTGCAGAATAAAGCTGTTTGAGACTATTAGCGGAAGCCTTTTACTCTGAACAAAACAGGAATTATACACAAGGGTATTTTAGTCTAGGAATTACTTCCATGAAACTCCCATCAATTAGTAAATGCCTGTGACCTTTATGTTGTAGCGACAATACAGAGTTCCTTATTGTTTGCAAGTGCTGACATTGTGTTTTTGTGCTGGTGGCCCTGAATGGGTGGACAAGGTGAACAGAGTCATGCCAAAGATCTTACCACTTCATTCTGGGACTAATGACTAGGACATGTTCGGACCACACATTTTATAAAGATCGTTCTAAATACCAATGGCTGTTGTTAATTATGTATTCATTTATTATCCATCTATCAAACACAGATCTGAGCAGAGTCTGTAAAACATGCCGGGTTGCACAAAAGTTATTTTTCTTGGAACCGAGTTTGAGAAAACTTTTAGCGTCTACTTGTGACTGGTCTGTTTGGCTTGCATGGTACCAATCAGCGGTCTGTTGGCTTGAGGTCAAATGCCAAGCCAGAGAAAACCTTCACAGCCAAACGCTCTGCAACCCAAGAACGCTATCTACTTCCCATCTCTGATGCAGACTGGCACACACAGACACACATGTGCAGATGTGATAGCAAAACAACAGGAAGAAAACCTTGAGCCAGCTGCTCAAAATGTGATTTTGAAAGTGGCTGTGAAACCTGAGCTTTGGAGAGGACTTTAAAGGTCAGATATTGAAGTTGCAAAATCTGAGGTTTTAGTAATATTAAATATTTCTTCCTTTTGGAGGATGGGGTGCAAATCATTAAAGTCAACAAAAAACATCCAGTTTTGAAGAGGCATTTGACCAGAAGCAGAAGGCCAGGTTTATGCTCCAGACTCCCCAAAGTTAGCATTTGTATTAATGTAGCAGTTATGATTGCTGAAACCTTTACTAATAGCCATATACCTTTGTAACAGTGGCACCAGGTTCTAAAAAAAAAAAGGTACTGTGATGTCACAATGTCTCTGTCATCACATCACATGTTGGGGGTAATGCATTACAAATAACGTGAGTTACGTAATCAGATTACTTTTTCAAGTAGGCTAACTAGTAAAGTAATGCATTACTTTTTTACATTTTGAAGAAAATATCTGAGTTACTTTTTCAAATATGTAACGACAGCTCTCGTGTTGCCATGTAGAGGGAGTATTTACTCGTATCACTCGGACAAAAACAGTTTCAGTATTCCTCAAAATGAATAAATACACACTCTAAAAAAAGCTGGGTTGTTTCAACCCAACTTTGGGTCAAATATGGACTAACCCAACTTTTGGGTTAACATTTTAATGTAAAAATTGAACCCAATGGTTGGGTTAGTCCATATTTTACCCAAAGTTGGGTTGAAACAACCCAGCATTTTATAGAGTGCAGTGAAATGCAAACTCAAACCTGTAATAATTAAATGTTAAATAACACAAATGAGAAAGATGAGAAAAAGTAACACAAGTTTCAGTTACTTTTTAAGGAAGTAACACAATATTGTAATGCATTACTTTTAAAAGTAACTTTCCTCAATACTGTTCCCTACTAAATAGTACACACACACACACACACACACAAAAAGTATGTCTGAATTCACAGTAGTCATTAAAAGTAGGCGAAAAATACCGGATGTCCTACTACTTCCAGTGAGATTCTGAGGGTCACACAATGGACACTTTACTCTCCCATGAGGCCACGGGAGAAGATTTGTGAACACAACTGATGCTTATAGGTCACATTTATAACAGTTTTGAAGTAATGCATAACAACCAAACAGTACTGTATCCAGATGTATTGACATTACAGTAATATAATATATAATATGTGTTACTGCATGCAGTGCTTTTAACAGAACTTCACAACTTACTTTTTAACCTGCTATCATCTTCTGTGACCATGTTGGATGTGATGTTGTCCATCAGAGGGTCTCTGACATGCATTACTCCCTATTAATATTAATACAGAGAAAAAAATGGCACATTTTGTTCCCAAACGTCCAGATGTGACATTTAGAGCAGTATACTTATTTTAGTTGTGTTAATGTATTAGCTGAACTTGGAACATGTGCTTCACATTATCATATGGAAAATGTTCCTTGAAGCATGTATTAATGGGCCTTTTTAAAAAATATTCTTAGTTTAAAATGGCATTTGGTTGGATGTTTTGTTTTAAACAATTGGATTAATTCATTGTGCGGCTTAAGCACTGAAATGACAACAACATTTATGGACCACAACGTACAAGCAGATTTTACTTATTAAATTGTAGGAATGAGTTAGCAGATAAAATAGGCTCTTTTGGTGGAAAACCACAGGGAGAATCTAAAGCATATCTTTTGCCGAGCGCAAATTGATCCGCCAAAGCAGAAATGCTAAGGGTGTCCCATAGACAACCACTGGCCAGCTTCTGCAGTGCTACTGGAAGTGATCCATGCATAATAATAAATAAATGCATTTAAAAATGCTGCATTTAGCAGTTTGTTTAGTAATAAAGACTATTCTGTGATTCAGTGAATAATGAAGACAAGTATTTTTTCTCTTTGAAATACATGCAACAAGTGCATGATAAATCATGCACAATATGACCAGGAACAGCTCTGATTTCTTATTGACTTCTTTTGACTTTCCTGCATATGGCCCTCCTCGTGATGGGGATGGACATGCATCTGGACAGAAAAACAAATGGGTGAAGGATGATTCATGAACAGAGGGAGTTTCCAGAGAACAAGCAGCACTCTGGGACAAGACTCACTTTGAATCATTAACATTTTCAGCGCATTTTGGGGTAAAAATATCTGAGAGAACAAAATCTGAGAGCACTGCATGCTTATAGGAAGGTGAAAGCAAAATATTTAGTAAACATGGTCTGGACTCTGCAAACAAGAGCGTGTTTCAATTCTGTGGAAATCTGCAGAGCTTTCAGAGGATTACGTCGGTCCATAACCTCATTGTTTTTTTTAAAGGTACAGTTCACCGATAAAATTCTGCCATCATGTTGTTTCAAACCCAAGACTTTTGTTGAAGCACAAATTAAGATATTTTGAATGACACCTGAGAGATTTTGGTCCTCCACGTGTCAAGCAAACATGTTTGAGCTTTCGTTGACCATATCTTATGTGCTCTGTAGAGCGTGTAACTGATGCCCATTTTCATTTTTGCATGAACAAACCCTTTAGGTTTTGAGTTTGTTATTGGTATGTTTACAGAGGCGGACAAAGTACTCAACTCCATAACTTGAGTGAAAGTACAGATACTGCTGGTCAAATATTACTCCATTACAAGTAAAAGTTGTAACAATACTCAAGTAAATGTACTTAGTTACTGTCCGCCTCTGTATGTTTAACAGAACCGTTCTCAAATGCAAAAATGACATCCTAATTAGAGAGCATGTGCAATAGTGATGCAAAATGTTGGACGCACCGCATAAGGACCCTGGATATGTAGTCGTCCAATTTATGATCCACAAAATCAGGCATCAGAAGTCTGCAGCTCATCTGATGAGAGTCCAGCACCGTCACCTGAACTAGCACAGAAAATTACATTTTCATATTATATTGCCAAAATATGATGCAAAACATTTCAGACAGCATGCAATGAATTTGCTTAATTCATCAGTGAGGTCTTACGAACAGCCAGGTGGATGTTATCATCAAGGCTGAATGTAACAGAAAGGCAGTGGTCTGATTC